TGTGCGACAGCCGCTGGGACAGTCACTCATAGAATCGTTAAGGTTGGAAGGGACCCTAAAGATCACCAAGTTCCAACCCCCCTGCCATGAGCAGGGAACCACTAGATCAGACTGCACAAAACCTCGTCCAACCTGACCTTAAAAACCTCCAGGGATGGGCCATCAACAACCTCCCTGGGCAACCCATTCCAGTTCCTCACCACCCTTAGAGTGAAGAATTTCTTCCTAGTATCTAACCTAAATCTCCCCTCTCTCAGTTTAAAACCATTACCCCTTATCCTATCACTATCTTCTCTGATGAAAAGCCCTTCCCCACCTTTCCTGTAGCCCCTTCAGCTACTGGAAGGTGCTATAAGGTCTCCCTGGAGCCTTGTCTAGGCTGAGCAGCCCCAACTCTCTCAGCCTGTCTTCATAGCAGAGCTACTCCAGGCCTTTGATCATCATGGGACAGCCGCTCGTGGGATGTCACCCACGGAACATCCACCCATGGCGTGGGCTTGCAGAAAGTGAGGCTGGGGTAGAACTTGGCCCCTCTCGGTTCATGGGCCCTGAGGACGTGGGGCTCACTGTGGGTGTTCCCTGTGCTTGTGTGTGCCATTTCCTGGGGTCTTGGGCGGCTGCTGGGCTGTCCCAGCCAGGTGTGCAGCCAGGCAGGTATTTGGTGAAGTAATTCTCTAAGTGGGCTTCATGTGAAAAGCCAGGCACATTAGACCATCTAGGCAGAGGTGGTGCAATCTCTCGGTTTATGAGAGAAGACAGAGTCCATGGGGGAGCACGCCCACAGGAATGCTCCCATTGCAGGGAAAGCTTCATTTGGGTACCAGGATCAAGCAACAGCAAGACCCCAACCCCTAGAAGTCAGACATCATTAGTTCCGGTGCTCATGGGATTTATTTTCCCAGGTATGTGGATTTGCTATTAAATTATCTGTTTCCTAGGCAAGGTTTTAATTAGGCAAAGATTTGAACATTTATTTGAGTTTGTATCAATGCCTGTATTTAGTAAAGGCACTTTTGCATCATGCTCCTTTTCTGTTCTTGGCAGTAGAGCCCTTTCAGGATGGCAATGCAATGACAGGGAGGAATAAATCTCACAGGAGTCTTTGCCCTTTACAAAGTTCTCAGATACATTTGATAGACGTTACCATTCCATAGCTGTTAAGAACAGATCACAAGGTTGGTTTGTTGTTACAACTTCTGCTTAATTGCTACAAACTTTTATAAATACAAATGGAAAATACTGGGTATTTTTTACCTTATATTTTTCCTAGACCCACCTGGTTGTTTTTTTTTTTTTAATCTTCACCATAAATACCTGAAGGATAGTGAAAATGGGTGTAATGGGCCTTAAGACCTGAATTAATTTTTTCAACTGTGACATTACTTCCCTGGACTATGTAATTTTGCCACCAAACTCTTAATCTTAAGAGCAAAATGGAATGTGTGACTGTCTTTTCCTTTAGCACATGGCCCTGTCTACATCTGTTGTAATGCCACCCTTTTGGTTCCCACTTCAATGTTTGAATATAGTTGCAAGTGGGAAATAAATAAATAGATTTCCAAAACCAAAATGAATGAAAGCTTGCTAAGCTCCTGACAACTTTTCTCTTTTTCAGAAAATGTTCCTTCTTCAAATAACTAAGCAGTTGTCTCTTCTTAAAATAATGACTAGGTCCAGTGAACTCCCTACAGAAAACTCCTAAAAAAATATTTAAAAGCTCAATTTTGCTGGTCTTTCAGGGAACTGCCTCATGCAATCTGATGCATGCAGGATACAAATGTCATACTCTGTATTTACTATTTCATACAAATTCATTCTAGGTTTTCTTTATATAAAGGTCTTTGCTTGTACTTTGCATATAGAACAAGTACAAACAATGTAGCTTCTAACATAAACAAACCGATAACATTATATACAACCTATTTTATTTCTGTTAATAGGATTAAATGTGAGATACTGGCTCTTGTATCCTGCAGAAATGGGAAACAATGCAAGACTTTCTCAAGACGTAGGAATTAGTACTAAGTTCTATATGCAGTAAATATAAACTTTAAATTATGCACGGTAGACACAAAGCAGCATTGATGCAAGAGTCATTCATCTGTTCCGTAGCTTCCAGATACATTTACCACAATGAATTCAGGTGGGACCTTCAGCTTTACTAGTGACTATAAAAGGACAAAAGGTAGATAAAAACCAACCCACAAATACTTCAACTTCTTTTGAAAATTTCTTCACATAAAGATGAACAAACAAATCACCTAACAACTTAAAATAACTGTGTTGCTGGTCCAGTTTTGCATTTAGTATTTCCAGAAAATGATCTCAAATTTAACAGAATGAAAACAGTATTTCTTAAAATTGTACAAAAAAAAATAAGAATGGTCTAGCATAAAAAAAATTCAACTCAGGCTGGTTTTCTCTGCAGATTTGCTGTTCATCAGAAGTGTCTGTCCATATTTTTGTGTAAAAAGTGCTTCCTTTCCAAGTCCAAGATCCAAATTAATAAAGGTTTTAGTAGTTTGCTCTTGCAAAATGACCTGGATGAGCTGAAAATTAGAAAAAGAAACATAGAAATGTTTTGGCTGTAGGAACTGTAAATGATTT